AAAGATACTTCATTATTATGATGGAATTTCCAAACAGAAAACAAAAATATTTATCTACTAGATCAGAGCTACTTTAAGCTCCATTTTGTTTTTAAGTAGACAATTGCAAGTATCAGCTATTTCTTCATTCACTGAAACAATCTCCAAGACTATATCAGAGGATGTCAGCTTTTGTTTCTTCCTTTGAATTCTGAGAAGTATGCATTTAGTTATCTTACACTGGTCTGGATCTCTCATGAGAGAAGCACGAGACCAATATTGCACCACTATCCTTTCTGGAGTTACTTTAATGAACTTGTGGTTCTAATTATCTTGCTGGATTTGCTTTAATATATCTAAGCCTTCACTTAAATTACCCTTACTTACAGAATTTAACCAAGATTTTAAGGCTGCATAAACAAATGGAAATTTGTTTATATAAGCATTAAGTAAACATCAACAGCCTGTTTTTGTTGCAATTTTTTACACTATACAGTATGAGTAACTCCAGTGAGTTGACACAATTACACTGTTAAATGAGAAGACATGAGAAGAACCAGTAGAGACTCATGATCTGCCAGTGGACTCTGAAATCCCTGTTTGTGACTTCCTTCAGTCACAAAAGCAAAACAGACACTGAAGTCCTAAGGTTTCATGATAGAATTCATGCTGGATCCATGTTCTGCCTCTGTCCTCTTATTATCTGCACATGTTGCAAATCACTACAGCAGACTTTATTGGAATATCCTTACTGACAGCCTCATAATTCCATGTTCATTTGAGACATTTTTTTTTAAGAAATGTATACATTACCAATCTAGATAACAGAAAAAACAAACACGAGTTAATTTCCAAAGACACTGGCATTTCTGTTCTGTGGTGCTTTGAAAAGTTTGAAACATGTCAAAAAAGGGGAATAGTTTATGTTCAATAAGAATGGAAGGGTGGCGTTATTTCCAGCAGGACTGTTATTCCCCCCAGATAGGAAAGAAAGTGAGTACAAACAGGATGATAATTATAAAAATTATTGTTTCAAACTGAAGACTTGTCCAAATTAGAGTTCATAACTGCCTCCTGCAGTGAGACTGGAACATACTCAACAACTAAGAAAATAATTACAGTGGAAAGCAAAATTAAGATTTAAGACAATTATTTCTTTAGAAGCTATGGACAAAGGGCTACAGGACCCTACAAATTCAAGGAGCATTAGTATAAGAAATTGCATGGTCAGACTCTTAGAGTGTAAATTTAACAGTTATTAACATCTTTATTATACTGTTTGTAAAAAAAATGTGGAAGTGGATTTTTTCCACTCAGGAAGGGTAATGCTTCAGACTGAAGTTTAAACATGGTTAGGTTTTATACATTTCTAAACCAGTTGAATTAGTTCTATCTAAACCCACAGCCAACATTATAATATTCCCTACCATTTGCCTTAAGACAGAAGAACTTTTTTCCTCAATAAATCTTGAGGCAGAACAATGATCTCTGGTAAGGTAAGTTTTATAAAGTGAGATGCTTATGGCTTATCACTAAGAATGTGGTTAAGCTATCCTTAATCTTATAAAAGTTACAATAATATAATTTAATTTAATAATAAATAATACAATAAGTAGTATTTATTGGCACAGTGATAATTGATAGCAACAGCTGCTTCTCATCTCTCTGTAAGGGAACTGAGGGTCTGCAGGTGTCTCTGTATACTATATGGGAGGAAATACTAACTTTTCAGTAGTGACCCCTGTGTATTTCCATCATCTATGTGCTTTCCATAGCAAGGTAGAAGTTAGTGGCTTCAGCTCAGTTTACTCTGTCTGGACCCTTTATTCTCCAGTACCTGTGAGCTGCTAGTCTCAGCAGCACTCAGTGGTAGTATATACAGTTTCCAGGCTCAGCACTTGTTAATCAAGCCTTGTGCACATCCCTCTCTACAAAGCTGAAAAAGTAATGGGAAAGGAGTATTGCTCATTATTTGATAGTATCTCCAGCTGTGTTGCAATAATTGGCAAGAGACTGTCAATGACTACTGAGCTGCATTTTATTCCTCTCCCTATTAATAGATCTGTACCTGCTTCATTATTTTTTGGATGCTTTAGTGCCCATTTAGGAATTAACAGACATGATGCATATCACATACTTCCAACCAACCTTGCAGGGCTTTATTAGCACTAAAAGCCAACACTGTACCCTGAGGCAGAAGGCTCAGCAATTAATCTATCATTTAGAATACTAAAGGACACCATCAAAGTTATGAGGGCTTGATCTCCACCCGACAAAGCATACAAAGATGTGTTTCCCTAACAATATAAGGAATGTCAGCACATTCCACCTTTTAAAAAAAATTTCAGTCCCATTCTGATGTCTGTTTTCTGCATCGTGTTCTCCGAGACACGATCTGAATAAAACTTCAGAGCTTCGCCCTTCTTTCCATTGACTTGAGCATAGGATTTCTACAGGATGAACCCCAAGGTCGGCAGTTCCATTTTTCACACCCAAGCAGAAGCACAGAGCTCATCTGTGCAGGAGACAGTCTCAGGCCATAAAACTAAGCCATATAAATCTCACCACCATAAACTAAGCCATATAAATCTCACCACTGTAAACTCTGAGGGCACATCAATATTTTAAACATTTATTTCTCCATGAACACACAGAACATGTACATTAAAGGAACTCAAACTCAAGCAAAATTCTGTCAAAATAAAACATGTCATGCATAAACAATTCTCTCGCTGAGGAAAGAGAATAAGGGAACAGTTTGACCCAAATGTCTGCAGATACCTCAGTGACGATGATGATGATTAAGAAAACATTACAGAGTAATACACAGAGTGAAGTGGCTGTTGCCAGTTGGTAGAGCTTCACAGCTTTTATGTAGCTGCACTGATTAAAATGGCTGAAGATCTGGGCTTTAACTTTCAACAGAAGTTTATAAATTGGCATGTTTTACAGAAATAGGTTTTAAAGCTGAGTGACATAATCAAGAGCAGCTGGGCAAAAGGAGCTCTGTGCTGCACATGCCCTCAGACAGGGTACACCATTCCCTAAGGCAAATATCAGATAAAGCATATGAGAGAAAAACCTGCTAGCTCAGCACTTTTACAAATAGAGAAGTACCTTCCCCTCTCACTGTGGTTACCACTGTGTTCAGAAAATAAGAACTCTTTGGCCCTCCCCTTTCCTCTGACTGTACCACTACCTCCAGCTGACTGGGGTGACTGACAAACTGCATAACCTGATATTCCAGGTTACTGTATTAGAAACACTCTGCCATTCTGCACAATAAATGGTTTCCACTGGGAATGATTTAACAGAGAAGTATTTTGGCTGCTTTTGCGAAAGGGGTTTGCTTTGCTTGCAAGGTCGGTCAGAATATGCTCCCTGAACTTTGAACCGTATCTGCAAAGGGAGATAAACAAGAGCCATATAAATACCACAGCCCTCTTCCCCAAGTTGTTTTCTTCTGCAGCGGAATTGAGCGGAGCTGCAGGGGAGGGCGGGGAGGAAAGGGTAAGTGTGCTGGTTTTGCTAAGAAAGAGCTCATGACTTAAGATCTGGCAGAGTGTCTGCTTGTTTCTTTGCCTGAAAGGCTGACTGTGGAAATTTCCATTGGAAACCAACTCGAAAGTTTAAATGTGAAGAGAAGTATAATTCAGAACATAGCTCTCCTCTCGTTCACAGGGCCAGACAGCTGCTGCTGGGTGCTGTATGCCAGCACTGCAGAAGGCTATAAAGGCACAGAAGGATCTCAAGATGTCGTAGGAGTTTCATATGTTTGTAATGGATGTAAAGGTGGGCAGCTTTCCAGATGTGTGGAAAGAGTAGAAAACTGGCCCTGTTGATATCAGTTGGAGCACAGTTTAATCTTCAAAGTATTGTACCTAAATTGCTTTTGGTAGAATTGCAGGAAAGAAACATTAGGGACAGATGGATTTCACAAATGACACTGGCTTTGCAGCAGCTGGCTCTTGTTTTAAAAGATCGATTACTAAAATGTGTTGGGTTTTTTGTTGTTGTTTTTTGTTTTTTTTGTTTTTTGTTTTTTGTTTTTTTTTTTTAAGAATATGACAAAATCGATGAAATGTGTGTCACTTATCAGAACTGAGTGTTTTCAGAATGTTCTGTGTTTACTGTCAGACTTCGGTGCAAGTGGTGAAATTATACAATTCCATAACCTAGGACATGCTGGGGCGCTGTTCTATAATTTTATATAGTTCTCAATAATGGGTGTTTTCTGAACATATTAAGCCAAAATTATTATGTTCATGGAATAAAAGGAGAAGATTAATTATAGAATTTCTCATATGCTTTAATTTTCTTAAACATTAAATAGACTAAGTGTTGGTAAAAGTTTTGTAAGGTTTGAGGAATCCTGAAACTGTTTTCATTTCCTGTTTTTGCAAAATTGTTTCTAGTGCCATTGTTCTTAAGAGCTTTTTCTCAATGGGATCCAAATACTACAGACTGATTTGTAAAAATCTTTAAGTCTTTTTTTTTTTTTTTTTTTTTCAAATTTTTGCCAGGTTCTGTAATACTTTCTGTGTAGTAAAATACACTGTTGGTGCAAGTACTTTTAAGTCAGTGGATTTACTCTGGAATCTGGAATGAACTTGTCCAGATTCTTACTGGTGTAAACTGGCTCAGCACAACTGATTTCAAAACACAAGAAATGAGGTCATTTTAAAATCACTGGAGTGTTAAAAACAGTCAAGAAGAAATTACAAAAAGGAAGGAACAATGTAGTCTGGTTAGTAGCATTAAAAGAAAATCCGGTTATTCTGACTATTTACTTCTCAGCTGTTTACATACAACAAAAATATACTACCTATTTACTATAGGGGAACTCCACAGTAAAATGAAAGAAGTGTGATCAAGCAGTAAACAAAGTAGCTCAAATTTATTCTTACAGGTTTCTTTAAACTGAATAGAGCAAATATTCTGATGTGTTTTGTTATGAGAATTTTAGAGTCTGAACTTTGTTTAGGCATTGATCTAATTTTGTTTATTTTCTCTCCTTTCAGATAAAGCCCAGCCATGTGGGCAGGGCTGGGGCTAGTTCTGGCACTCTGTCTCCTTCCAGGAGGAGGGACAGAGGTCCAGAACTGCAAGGAGCCCCCAGAATGGCATATAGGGGAGGAGAACCCAATGCTGAACTCCAGGGGCTCCGTGACGGTAGTGGCTCTCCTCCAAGCTAGCTGATACTTGTGCCTGCTGCAGGCTTCCAGGTAGATGTAAATCTCTTTCCCGGTTTTTGTTAAGACAGGACTGGTCAATTTTTTAATGCCATCTGAGGATAATCCCTGTGCCCAACTACAGGTACACTCCGTGAACTCTAGCTTCCTCAAATGCTGCCATCCCAGCTAGCATGTGTGACCCAGTGACCAGTTTAACTCTCAGCAGGAGCATTCTGTGCCAGCGTCTCAGATTCTTTATCTCTTGATTTAGTCCTGAGTGACAAATTGTCTTCTCCAGATTGTATTTACAATGTACAGTATGATAAGCTTGACATTAATGAAACTTGGAACACATGAAAAACCAACAGAAACAGTTTCTCAAGACTATGCGTCAGTTAGCAATAGATAATTAACGCAGCAAAGATGCTGAAGCTAAGAAACATCATAATATTCTGACATGGCTAGAATGCCTGAAACAGAGATCTGCGATCACACATATCTTGTGTAAGATTTGTAGGGTAAAAGGCAAATCAAAACACGTACTTCTAATGAGCTTTTCCAGGCCCTGTTTCAAGGTCCTACATATTAAAAAAAAAAAAAAATCAGGGAGATAAGGTATAGATTGGCCTTTCAAAAAATAGATCAAGTGTTCAAGGGCATCATCAGTGTTATATTTTCATACAAGACCTGGGACGTTGGTGCTCTGGTTTCTAGAACCTACTTCTGTGCAAATAATTAGGTATCATGACAGTAACAGCATCAAGAAAATAATTTTGAGCTGACCCAAACATGAATTGCATACAGTCCTTATATTGGATTGATTTAGTGATTGTGAAATCATTTTGGTTTAAAAATTCATAGTACCAGTTTCTGAGCTTGATGTTAGTCACTGTGATAACATCTTAGTTTCCCTGTCTAGGCTGCATGGGTTCATATTATAATAGTCTTTGCAAATTTATTAAGAACTAGATTTGGAAAAGTGGTGGTAAATCTCTGACTCTAACAAAGTCAAAAGTGGGCTCTCTGGTTGCCTTTCAAGGTACCTGGGTTTGATTCTGTACATTTAGGAAGGTTTTAAAGAATCTTTCAAGCTCTAGATGATTTCCTGAAACTGAAAAAATTAAGAGTTTTCTAGAGCAATTCAATAGGAGGGATATGAATGAAAATGAAAAAAACCCACCGTGCGTCATATGGCAAGCAAGCAGCTTTCTGTACTTTACAGCAAAGAAAGACTTTTGTGACAGTGAAAGACTAATAACTGCCAGACAGGTCATGCACATGTTTTATAGCCATCCTTTTGACCCAGATGCTGTAGCACCCCTTTTTTGGCTATTACATAAAATAGCCATGTCAAGATGAGTGGGAAAGCTAGACCTTTTACTGCATGTTTGTTTTTCTTTGATTATTCGTCTTCCTGCTCTATTTAATGGTACGAATTCTTTAACCAAAACCTCAGCATTTAAATAAAGACATCAGATAAACTGTGTTAGACCATGAAGAGTGTGAAAGAACCGAAATAAATATAACACTGAAATCAGTCTGAAAACAGAAGTCTGCTTTACTTAGTGCTGCATTCTACTTACAAGGGTGGGACCCATGGCACATTAGCTACTGTAGAGTCTGGTTTGGTGACAATGTAGTTGATAGTCATGGCAAATGACAAGAATGTTTTAATAGTGTTAAATTGTTGCCATTAAAACTGGGAGAAAATAACATTCACTGTAATAAAAGCAAGATGGACCGTATTAACCTTTGTTGAAAGTGGCAAGTCTTATGATTCTCTAGTGGTTTATGTTCTTGTTTCTTTATATTCTCCACTAGATTGGAGGACCTGCGAGTAAAGTTAGAGAATGAAGGACTGGTTAACATCTCGTATGTGGTTGTCAACCATCAGGGAACTTATTCCCAGAGGAAATTTCACCTGCTGAAAGAAAGTGTGTCAGACTATATTACTGTCTACCAGCAAGATGAACAGCAAGCTGATGTCTGGACTACCTTAAATGGAAACAAAGATGATTTTCTCATCTATGACAGGTCTGTGTTTAGAGGGGAAGACAGGAAAATATTTGTATGTATTTAGAGTAAGGCTTTGTAAATCTCTATATTATTTAATTGTTTTGCAAATAACTTGATTACCTCACAATAAAGACAACATAATCAACTTCTAAGTTGCACTAAGTAAAGTACTTGCATTTCCTGGAAGGAAGCTACAAAAGAAGAGTCTGCTTTTGCTTAAGTAAAGTTGGGATAAATACATTTTTCTTTAGAATCACTGTGGATCTACATTAATATAACTGAGTGTAGAACTTGATAGCAAGATTCTGGTCTTACACTGTTTCTATCTTCAGACAACTTGATTACATCCATGCATGTGAAGGTAGAATCAAATGAGAAGAGCTGTCTGAGTTCTCATCAAAACATTTTGACCAGAGTTGTTGAAAATGTCACGTAGCAATACAGAAAAATTAGCCTTTAGGTGAAACCTAAAACTTTGTAATAAACCAGCATTTTGATCATAGGATTCCAGGACCTGTATCTTTTGGCAGACCCAGTAATAACTCTTTCATTGAAATACTGATTTTTCAGTTCTGATGTGATGGAAATTACTAGACAAGTCCTGTACTTCTAACCTGCCCGTCCTAATTACGATTATGCTACTGTAACAAACATTCTTACATCATACTGAGGCATAATTAAGTTTGATAAAGAATTAGAAAGTTACTTAGCTTTTTTTTTTTTGGTAATATGATGAAGTTGAACAAATTAGCTAAATTAGGCTTGTGGGATGAAACTAGAACCGGAATGATCTTTAGAAAGTGGTTGCATGTTACAGCAGCAAGTAGGCCTGACAGCGGAAGGTTACTGTCACGTGGCAGCCAAACAGGACGAGGCTGTATGTAGTCCATGGAGAGACCCCAGAGCTCACAGTATTTGAAATGCTCCAACAGCTATGTGCTGTCAACACGTAGGATACACTGGCACGGTGAATTGGTTTGGCACCAGTGTGGCCGTGATCCATGACGGTTCTAGGACTGTGCATCCGTGCTGTGCCTTTACTGGCAGTGATGCCTTTGCCCCTGGCTGGTCCTGGGTGTGCACTGCAGATGGGTAGGGAGCTGAGGCTGGAGGACTGTGTGTTGACATTGCGGGTGGGGTACTTAACCAGGTGCCCTCATGTACAAGTTCTGCATTTACTCCTGCTCTTTGAATGTATCGGTTGTGTCATCAAGTGCATACCAGAACACTCAGCTACAGACATGGTGCAAACAGGTGCCAGAAAAATCCCCTCACACGCTCTAAATCACTAACACAGATGCACCGCAGTGCACATTCAAAATACATGTTATGTTGCATAACACCATTCTTTGTAAGGACACAACAAGAATGTTTGCAAGTAGCCCTCCTCATTAGCAAGATAGGTCTGTAATGAGTGTGCCTTTGCTAGTCTAAATGCCACTAAACGAGAGGTTTGTGCCAGTAGTTGTTGTGTCAGCCAGAAGTCACGCTTTACGCGGCTGAATGATGCAGTTGAGTGAGGAAACTTCTGTAAGGCAGATACTGGTTTTGCCCGTGAATTCCTTGGACAGAAACACTCTCCATGGGACTGTCCAGTGTGGGTGGATTGATGTGAATAAAAAAAGGTATGATAAGAAGAGGTATCTAATTTTAGGTGTACGTAACCACAGAGTTCTTTCTCTCCTCAGATGTGGCCGTCTAGTGTATCATCTGGGTCTGCCCTATTCCTTCCTGTCTTTCCAATACGTAGAAGAATCTATTAAGATTGCATACTGTGAAAACAAGTGTGGAAACTGCTCTTACACGGTATTGTTTCATTCTATACATACTAGGAAAGGAAACTGGATTTGACTGGTACTTAAAATATTTCAGTGCAATTAATCCAAAAAGACATGATACAGAATTTACACATTTCACGTGTCTTGACAGAGAGCTTTTAAACATTTTTCAAAGTGAATTACCTCTAATTTATAAAAGACTGATTATCTGACTTCCTGCCCTTAATAGAAATGCAAATAATTTTTCAGAAATCTAAATGCATTCTGGGATGCTAGTTCTGTTTCTGGAGTTATGTACAGCTAGTGAGCAATTAACCGTGCTAGTTTTTAAGGGCAGGTACTTGGAAAAAATAGTAGTTTTTTTTAAAACCTGGGAATCAAATCCAAGCACTATTCCTTTTAGTTTACATTTAAACATGGTATGCAATAGTTAATTTTAAAAAATGACAACAAATTATTGTTACCGTTATAAAAGGATAGCTTTGTTTTATATATAACTAAAGGTAAGAACTACATCAAGGATTATCAAGAAATATACATGAATTGTCATGAAAGTTCAGTGAGAAGAATAATTTTTGATCCCATAATGAAGTTTTCAAGCTAAATGTAGGCCTCAGGCAGGTCAGATGTGGGATCCTAGAGAAAGAATACTTTCTATTAACAGTTACTTGGATTATAATTCCTAAAAGTTTACATTAACAGCCCTGTCTAGTTATCAGTGGTGTTGTAAAACAGAGTTCTTTCTGATACATTAATATCTTCCTTCAGCAAAACAGCACAAATAATTTAAAATTGGGTTTCAGGTTCTGCAAAAATGTTGATTCATATTTTACAACTAGTTTAATTAAATATAAGGTACTGTATTTAATGAAAGCTTCTGTTTTGCAGAAACCCGATACTGATGGTGTATGTGAAAACATCACTAAAAGAGCAGATGAAAAGCTGGCAGAGATGCAACCCATACCAACTGGTCAACACTCACATCACCACAGCCTGCACAGACATGGGCAACACCACCACCGTCGTGAGGGCAGTCGTCACTCCAAAAACGAGAACCATCAGGCTCCTTCTGAAACTCAAAGACATCATCTTCACGGCGGTCGGCGTCATAGAGTTTTTGACCATAACAGACATGGGCAGACAGGTAGTCATGAACAGGTAGACACTGTTCCTCCAGGAGAAATTGTGGAAATTACACAAGATAAAAAGCTATGAAAAAAGGGGAAAACCAGCTGTAAAAACCAGCTAACTTGAAATTGGCAGACAGCAACAGACTCAGCTTATAGTAACTGATGCTGTCATTGTCGACACCTTTTGTTTGAAGAGCTAGGAAATTCTGTCACTTGACAGTGTCGTGGAGCACTTCCAAATTCTTGCAGGTGACGTGGCCAGCTGTCAGCAGAGGACATCACTGAATCTTGACAGTGACGTCTGCTCACCGCTGCCTGACAGTCACCAGCAGCAGGAGCAAGTGAAACGAGCGACACCTGACAGTGACAGGAAAAGGCAAGAAACTGAGCCTGAAAAACAAACTAAGCACCTTAAAAATGCAAGGGAGTCCCACTACCTGAATTTGTATAGTTGCGAGAGTGGCAAAATTAACAGATTTGTTTTTATTGCCCCCAATTCAAAATTATACTGACAGGTGTGTAGAGTTAAAATATCACAGACTAGACTTTTAGAGCAGTGCTCTCAGAATTACGCAATACCTGTCAAATTCCATCAGTGAAAAGCTTTGTTATTTAAAGGAATTTCATTGATCTGTAGTTTGTTTTTCAGTTGCACTTGGAAGGTGTCTGCATTTTTGATTAACTTGCCTTTCTTGTTTCTCTTCTAACATTCTTCTTGCATTTGTGAGGACAGGAGCATAAACTATGACCTAGGGGCTCCTGTCTGATGTTTTGCAATCAAGAATAGAAGATAACCAAAAGAGATATTTTAATCATTTTTTATTAAGAAGGTAGACTGTATTCAAAAGCTGTTTGGTTTTTGTTTGGTTGGTTTGTGGTTGTTTTTTTTTTTTTTTTTTTGTTGTTTTTTTTTTTTTTTCCCTAACCTAGAGATACAAATTATGTACAAGAAAAGCTTATTCCTAAGCAATGTGCCAAAATAACCTTTTATCTCAAATGTAACATACAAGCAGTAATTGAATTATTTTAAAGCAACAGATTTGTATGTTTAGCTTTTGTGGCTTAGATACGGTATCAGGGTCCATTAATACATACTATTACAGCTTGTAAAATCCCACTAAGTCAATAAAATTGTGCCTGAAGTTAACAACTCTTCATGTAGAATCAGTATCAGAATCAAAAAGAGGGAGGGACAGAACAAATTTAATCTGGGTTTAATGTTTATTGTTGTTTATAACAGTGCTGAATTTGATAAATCTGTAACGATTAGCCAGGTAATATACCACTTAAACATGTATAACTTCTCTGTGTGTGGCTTAGCTTTCATAACTTTTGATTAACTGAGTTGAAGTAAAATTACAGTTGTTTGAAGGATTCCTGGATGAAGAAAAGAATATTCAAGAAAGGAAAACTGCTTTGAAAGTGTACACGATAATTAATGATGGTTTAATAGGGAAATTATTACTCCTGTGAAACCTGAGTCTTTTTATTGTGAATGTTAATTAGCAAGAAAGTAGCCTTGGATATATACAGAACGCATGCCTCTGGATTATTTGACGAGGGTGTTTTCAATAAAAAATATTGCATATTTCATCATATCTTGTTTTTACTTTCAGGTGCACAGTTTGAAATACACTGTTTCCATTTCTCATTGTATGTTGTAATGATATACATCATGTCATTTACTCAAAATCGCCTCTGTTTGAAGTGCAGGTCTTGGCCTTTAGTAAGACGTTGCTCTAAGTGTCTTATGGTATTTCGGAGAATTTCAATTTCCTTGTTTTTCTCCTCCTGGAGATGCTGCAGCTTCTGTAAAAATGCAAGCAAAGGCTTCATTGTTAAACATCACATAGAATTATGTAACCATACAATATTACTAATGAGAAATATTTTAATGTTTTTTTCTCAGTATTTTGTATCAGAAGATTACAGAGATGACTTCCCCAGAATTGTATTTTTGTGATATCCCCCAGTCTCAAGCCTACAACAATAATGCACATATATAATTTATATCACAGCTGTTTATGTCAGTTCTCAAGTTCCCAGGTTAACAATTCTGTACTAAAACCACGGTGTGTGTGGGCTTTGGTTGTTGAACCCCGACCTGTTTCAACATCAGTGTGGAGAGGCATGAAATTACTTGTCTAGAGGCGGGAGGGATGGGTGGGGGAGTAGTAAGATGGACCTGTAAGCATGGAACCTGCTCCCACCCTGGCCCTCCCCAAGGTTTTGCTGCAGGACAGAGTAAAGCCCCAGGGAACGGCTGCATCAGACAGGCTGGAACAGTATTTAGTATCTGCAGGCTGCAGGCTATTAAAGCACCTACCCTTCTGTAGATACTCTGTGGAAAAACAGAAGCTTCTGAAAATGATTTTGTTGTTTTATTCTGAACTCTTGCTAATTTAGCATTGAACTGGAATCAGAAAAGGAACATTAAGAACCACCAGGAAAAAAAAAGTATGTTAAATAATACAAGTAAAATTTTCACTTTTTTTGTTTGTTTTTAAATTGGATTTTGTACCCGAAAGTAGTAATTGCAAGCTTATCTACGATTTAGTCCTAGGACAATGAAGCTACTTAAGTTTATTTTAAAAAGAATGCAATTACAAGTTATGTTTCTTTAAAAAAAAGCCTCAAAATATCACAAAAAAAGTACTACAAATATGATAAACAAAACACATTTAGGCAAGCAAGATGACTACTAAAAAAAAATCTGAAGGCTCCACAGCTCTGTATCTGCAGCAGGAGAAAATGCAGAGGAAGATAAAAAACTCTAAAATCATTACCCTTCCCTTACATTACAAAGGTAACTCAGCCCGAACACTTTAATACCTTATTTATATTTTGATATGTGAAAGATTTGAAATATTTCCTTAATTGTTTCTGTAAAGAAAGTGGCTTAAAACCTGAGCCATGGAATACATGTTGAATTCTGTAACTCAAATCTCCATAGGATTAGTAGACATTAAACTCTTCAAAGTTTATAAAAAAATATATCTTCCCAGCATTCAGAAATTAAAAAAATTAAAAACAAGCAGAAACCATTATGTTTTATTATTATTTTTAGCTCAAAAACTAGCAAAAGTTTCAAAATAATTTAATTTAAAACAAGAACACAGCAAACTTCAGCCTCCCTATACAGAAGCTAGAACTCGATTCCTGAGCAGAAGTGACTCTGATACCATTATGGGAGGGAGCACATGCCACTGTTATTTGTAAAGACCGTAATTTTTAAAGTTTCCTACATTCCATCATACTACTTTGTTAAGTACTAATTAACATTTTTCACTACACAGTCTCTTCTAAGTTTACCCAGTGCCCAACTGACCTTTACCTCAGCTTTGTAGTGCATACCTCTATCTGCAGCTTAATTATTTCGTTCTGCTTCTCTTCATTTTGAATTTTCAGCTGTCTAGTTAGCTCTAATATTTCCAGTTCTTTTTTCTCACTCTGTTCTCTATACTCCACTTCTTTTACTTCAACTAGTAACATAGTAATACCAAATACGATGATTACAGAAGATGTTTAGATGGAAAAATAACAATTTCCCAAATATTAAAACTTTCTTGAACAGCAGGTCAATATTCCACAAGAAAACAATTTAATTCAAGCAAAACCCATACTTTTAAACTATGTGAAAACCACCCTGTCCTAATCCGGTAAAATGGAATTGCTTTAAAGAAGCTTAACACTTTACAGAAAGTTTGTATTTTTTTTCAGCTACATGGATGACCAGAAAATCCTACTCTTCAAGGCTATGCCAGTAATGGACAAAAAATAATACTGATTTTTTTTTTTTTTTCTCATTGTGTTATTTATTTGTGAAAATAATGTCCTACTCTCCTGAGCATAGCCGGACACTTTAACATCAGTCTAGATTATAGTTCAAAGCAATTTTCCAGTCAACACTTAACTCAGAATTTAATTCTTTCAGATTTTTAGGTCCAAGTTCCCAGTGTCTGTTCTACCTGTCCAGGAATTTCTGCTCCTCTTGTGTTGCTGTACTATTGTCTCATTTCCACTGTCTACTCTCTTGAGCAAAGATAAAATTCAATTAAGCACTGTCCACTTCTAGCTTTCATAAATTTCCACTGAGAACTTGTATTTGTTCTTATCCTAGATGAAGTATAGCTCCTACAGGTTATAACATGCTTTAGCCACTGCTGTAGCATTTAGTCTTAAGAGAACTTACATTTTTTTCTTATATCGCAATTCAACTGTGTTATTTCTAATTTGTGGTCTTCCTCTTTGTTTTTAATTTCTACCACAAGTTTCTCAATCTGATTTTTATATTCCTGCAAATGTAAAAAGCTTCATAAAAATCTTGAGGTTTCTTTGCTCTTAGCCTTCTGCAAAGCACAACATTAATTTTAAAATGGGCAGTGCTCTATAATTCAGTACGTTTTATTCTTGATCTGGTAAATTCAAAATGCTCAATTACTTCTTATGCAATCTGGCTGAAGTTCACAGATGAAAAAGGTAGCACATTTCATTGTATTATAGCTATCAGCTAATATAAAATTAGAAATTGTAGCTATTAGGAGAACAGGCAAATGGAGAGGTAATACTCCTTTCCCCAGTCCAGGATCTGGTACAATGCTGCAGGTAGCTAAATGACTAGTTTTACTTTTGCAGATTTTTGATTGTAAGAGTGTATAACAAAAATTGTATTTAAAGTATGAATTTTGTTAATATTGCTTATACTAAGGATTCTACAACTTCCTACTGGCAGCAGTAGAAATGTCAGTGACATCAACAGTAGTGATGGTGGTGGCACTGATACTCAAGTGAATAGTTTGAGCACACCTATTCTAAATTTGCTCCAACAACTGCTCCAGAATTACCAAGGAATTGGCTGTAATTGCCAGTGCAGAGTTGCTTACTCCAAAGCTCTTCTCAGAGCCTTCTGACAAGGTAGGTAGCCACTCACCAGAGCAATGCTCAGAGGCTCTCACAAAGGCACTTACTTACTGACTGGTGGTAATATATACAATATATTTATATGTATTTCATGGTAATACATATAGATCTACTCAAGTAAGTGTCTTCAGAGCAACACTAGGATGTTCCACCATGCTCATACATGTATATAGAGTCATAGTTTTCTCATGTGTTTCAGAAGGCATTACTTGTTTTATTCTCAAACTGTCAAGATAACAGCTCTATTGGTATAATCATTTAATTTTAACTCATGGTTAATACAAACACAGGCAAAGAAAATCAGCAGTGAGATTCCTAATCCTATACAGGTAACAGATCTGCAATCATAGCACGGAGAACTAACACGATTTGTGACTAGCCCTGCTGCTGTTACCTCCTTTCCCAAAATGAGTGGCATAGGTAAAAAGTAGAGACATACCATCTTTGTAGCATTTACTCCCAAAGAAACTATAGACAAAATTCAGACAGTTCTTGATTCTCTGGCAGTACAGCAGGCTTCATGAGAATCAAAGCCTTATTTCCACACAAAAATATATTTTATTGCAAGGGGATTAGATTTTAGAATGTAAAGCTGAACTTAAAGCTAAATACAGCTAAAAAAAAAAAAAAAGCATCTTGGATTGACCTGGAGTTCTCAGCACTTAGTAGTTTTGACCACTCAGTCCCTCTGACACATTCTCATATTGATACTGTTATGAGAACAACTCTTTTTACACATGCTAAACGGTATCAGTAGCAAACCCAAGAATATGAAGATATATGAACTGCTACAATGGAGATAAAATATTATTCCTCTACCTAAAGAATGATCATCTGTGATGTACCTGTTCACGAGCCTTTAATTTCTCTTCCAAGATGTGAATTATACCCTTCAGTCTATCATTTTCGTCTGTATAAATAAAAAACTGTTTGATATAGTAAAAAGTACATTTTGACAGTGTTATTAGCATGAAAGCAGAATAAGGAAATTACTTCAATTTTTTGAGTTGTCTGAACTTGGAGAAAATTTTCTGTAGACATGATAATCATAATTTACAAAGCTACATAATCTCAGTCTCCATTCTTTTAACAAGAAAATTTACAGTTTAATTGTAATATTTGCCTAGTATTACCACTTTGAACTGTCTTTAGCCTTTTGTTAACTAGTGCATTCAAGAAAATCTAGATGCAAAGTTCCTTGGGTCAGAAATTTTATAATGGCTACAACAGTTTTGAATCAGAAGATGCAACTTTTTAAGTACATATTACCCAAAAGCTAGAAAGTAGTATCTCAAAACCAGAATTTAGAAAAAGAAGATAATGCTTTTTTTTGATTATTAAAAATCACTTTGAGTATTAAAAGCAGCCCTATACTTTCCATTTTTAGATGTTTATTAATATTTATGCATATATGCCTTGAAAACACAGTAGATATAAAATTAACTCCATGGTGTACAGCTAAACTATGGTATAAGGATATAGCAAATATTTACATACTTTATTTTAAAATAGCAATGAGTAACTGTCAAGTATTTATGGATAACAGTTAAATTTTAATAACGTTGCACTGAGGATTAAGAACTATCCATAAATGCTTTAATAGACTACAGTCCAACAGCTGAATGATACTTTCTCACTTTTTGTAGAATTGCCTGTGCTATGTTGAAATAATCTTAAAGTCTAAGTATTGATGAAAAAACCTCACTGAGGCAGGACTTCTTTTACATGTGGAATGTAAGTAATGTAATAGCAATAGACATTCATTAAGCATATAGACCACCAAAATCTGCATAAAATTGATTTTAGATAATTTTTTTTCTTTCTGTTTGGCTGGCATTGAGTTTCTCTTTCTGAAAAAAAAAAACAAACCAGTAAATATAAACAAAAAAATTAAATGCTTGCTCATTCTAAATTACGGTACAGTATATACAAGAACATTTTTGTTTTTACCTTTCACATTATACTGGTTTTCAATGGTTTGAGTTAGACCCTTTATCACATTCTGTAGAGTATTACATTCTAAAAGAAATGAAAAATCCAGTATTTTTGAATAATTTATTCACCATTTAATTTTTTAATTTTATGTTTTTTCAAATATTTTATAATAATATTGATCAAATATTAACCTAAGTCTTCTTACTGACTATAGAAATAACTCAGATTGTTATTACATGGTTATTGCTTAATTTTAGCTTTGGGTTTGACAATATATTAAAACCAATTTCATCAAGCAATACAAACAATTTCATAAAACTGACATTCTTATTTCTAGCCAGATAACAAGGATGTTATTGTTTTCTAGGCAATAATGGAAGTTTTCCATATCAGCATTCCAGTAATTTGATGTAATTAATGAAACTCAGGCTTAATTTCCTGACCGCACTTTTGCCAAGATTCTTTTTAACAAGACCAACACTATCCCTCACTGCAGTTTCTCACGCCATTTTTAGTGCATATTAACATTTGTCTTGTGGCTCAACATAACCTTGGAGATTCAAAATATGCTACTATATCCCCATTATCTCATTTTAAACAAAATAATTATGTGTATATGTATATACATGCAACTTATCAGCTCACGTACTTGTATTTCATAATTTTCTTTTAATCGGTATTTTTAATATATGAACATCATATGGACTGCCTGTAATACAACATTTGGTTTTCATTAAATACTATTTTTATTACTTATGCTTCTTGTAATCTTATCAGTAAAATTACAAAACATTTAATGATGGGAAGATGGGACAGTAAAACTGAGGTTGCTTACTCTTACAACCTTTCTTTCTATTTCCAGAGCACCACTGCATTTCTTAAGTGACTTTTAATTTCCAGAACAGATAAAATATGCTAAATAACAGTGACTCGTAAAACCAAAGCTCTGTTGAAAATTGTAGATCATATTATTAAAGACTACATTACAAATAATGGAGTCGGGAAGATGAATTAAGATCCCAGCTCAGAGATTAGTTTTCCACTCAGTCTTTTTGACCTGTAGTCTATTCTTCCATCAAATCAGCTTTTCGTGCAGCTGAGTATGTTAGCCAGCTGTATTCTCCCGGTTCACACTTTCAAGAAAACAGTAGAGGGAGCACGAACAGCACAGAAACATTGCAGGCCCCCAGTTCCTGTACTGCATCAGAAGCACTTGTGGAGAAATCCTATTCAAAGTCGGAAGCACTAGGTTAATATGTCCATTTGTAGCAACTAGTTCTCCTAGAAAATTTCTCCCATTTGAAACTGTATGGAAATAAACCCAAATGCTTGAAACTCATGCACAAATTGGAAAGGCATCTATGCACCTGATCAAACAATAGGACAGCAGCCAATCTTACAATGAAACACAGCTATTTAAGTGCAAGCCACTCTTTTGTCCAGTCCCAAGAATACCTGCTTATCTTTCTTATCTTTAGAGGATGTATCTTGGCAAATCCCTTATGTACTTACAGTCATGACTGGAAAAAAAAAATACCAGGAAACCACAAGTTTTTGTTGCCTACATTAAGGAAGAAAAAAGCAAAATTTTGCTAAATGGTTGCAGCTTTGTGGATCACTGGCATACTACCTGCAATAGACCCTGTGTGGTTCCTTCCCTGTAAAGAATACTGCCTATATGCAGCAAGATTGAACAGCCTAACTGCTCTTTTCCCATGTTTAATATCTATAACTTAATGCAGTTTCTTCCATCTGCATTTATAATTGAAGCTATTGGTTTCTTTTATAGGACAATTACATCTACCACTTTTTCCTTTATTACCTTTGAAACACTAAGTCAACAAATATGCAATTCTGACAATGTTAAATACAGCCACCTTAAGTCTTCCATATACAATAACGTGATTGCTTTCTTTTTAAAAACTACAGTAGATTTTAGTTCAGGATTGTAGCCTGCACCACCAGAGTCCATTCAGTCACCACAGAAAAGGTTTATGAGCAGAAAACAAGAATGCCAGACTTGCATCTGTCTTAAATGGATCTGCAGTGATTTACACTAAACAAAAACTGTGGTCCTTAATCTCACCTTTGTTTAGCAAAACACATCAAGACAAAACAAAGTTCACTTATGACCTTTCAGGACATGCACACACTTGCCCAGTTGCTCATCTTTTCCCACCTTTTCTTTGGTTCAAGTGTTTCACTTTCCTCTCTACACTGAGTTTTAGAAGTTTTCTTATTTCTTTTGCATTTCCTTCAGAATTCCCAGTCTTCTTTTACCTTAAGCAGTTCTAGAGAGAGAGTTCTGGCAATCAAGGAGCCCTCAGTTCTCACTTGTTGGATTCCCTGGGGCACAAAATGCTATTCCTATTTCTGTTTTTCATACTAACAAAGAGTCCTTCAGCCAGCATAAAATTCAGCTTCCTCCACCCCACCACAACTAGTAGCCACAAACCCTTCAGGGTAGGCGGAACAACGGCGTTTCCTTCCATAGCGTGCTTTCTCCCTGCTTCTCTGCTGTAAGCAGCATGTTTATTTGGAATCATATGTGAACCATTCACCAGCATGTGGTCACTTGTGTGTTTTTCCTTAGCTGTTCTGTGAACTGCTTTGTGGTCTACTGATAACCCTACATTCTAAACCTGAGTTGTTTACCTGTCATATAAATTAATTTGCTTTTGTGTTAAGTTTGTAACAGGATGAACTTGAGAATGCACTTCAACTTGAGAATGTACATAGATTAAGACTGTGTGTTGACACTATTCATCAAGAAATTGATGCAGCTGTCCAAATCCAGCAATTTCAGTTGCCTTTGGACCAACTCTTCACATGATACTTTCAGGAAATGTAGCTCAGCTGGGTTCTGGGAAACAGCTTGGGATGTAGGGCTAGGAGAAATCTTTTTTTCCAAGCCACATTTGGCAATATCACTGTAAAAAAGCCATTCCCACGATTAAGAGTCTGTTATGATAACTGTTGCCAGAGTAAGAATGGAAGTATGAATGATACATTTGGTCGCTTGCAACCTCTCCAGTTCTGCACAGGATCCCTCTATAACCCCATCACTAATAAAGAGGGTTTTTTAAATCCCACAGTGCTCTGACTTCCAAAAGTGTTTACAAAAAATTAAACTATTTGACACAACACTTTCAGTGCTCTGATTCTGACTACATAGTATGCTATTACCCCTTCTGAAGGGTCAATGTTACAGTTGAGTTTGATAAAGGCACAAAGACAATTTCTATCCATTTCAAAAAGAAAAAGCAAACTGCTTTAGAAACATTATACACTTACTGTAATTTAATCACTAAATCAACCATATGTACTTTTGAAATACTTTTAATGTTACAGTCACTGCTGATCTCCAGTAATATGGTAACTGTTTACCTGAAGGTTCCTCTGACAGCACCCACTGCAGATTATGGCAATTTGCTGCCCAAAATGTTTTGTGAAACTCTGCTTTCTGATCACCATTAATGAATACAGTTCAAAAATATGGACTTATAAGCACTTCATGCCATGATACGCAAGGTGTTTACCTTATTGGTAAGCGTGTTAGTCTAATAGAACAGCCATGATAACTCTCTTAATTTCTAAATACATTCTATCTCTTTGGCATCTCTCATTTACCTTTTACTTCCTTATCATCAAGTAGCTTTCAGAACCACCTCTTAGATGTCCCAAGCTGTTCCAAGTTTCTGCTTTTCACTTTTTTGGTTACCGCTACTAACACCTCTGCAATCTCTCTAAATGACCAGAATCCTTGTTTTCCAACAATTCTGCCTCCTATCCATATCTATACTGATTTGTACAACTACTGTGACTTCAACATTATTGAGATTTGTTTTTTCCTGACTATCCCTGTTGCTGAAACTTTAGTTCATAATTCATGCTGATTGCTCGGGTATTTTTACTTGGACTTCTGCCATTTACATTTTTTTTTTTTCATCATGTGTTTCAAAACAGCCCCAGTGGTCATTCTCTTCAGTTATATCAGCATAACTATCTCCTCAGATCATTTCACTCTTATCTCATCGAAGTGAGGCAGTGCTATTTACAAAGCTCAAATCTCTCTTCTGACTTTCGTCTGTTTTCGGTCCATTCTACTTCCACAGTCCCTGTTGCAGTCATCCCAGCTGCTCTGATTTCCTGAGTTGTCTCTTTCACTTTCTCTGCTGTCTTTTATCCCATAGATTTTATGGAAGAAAGTTCTTATTATCCACCTTTTCCTTTTCCCTTTTCAAATCTATTTTGCATAAACCCCCTTCTCTCTGTTTTTGTCGATAATGAAGCCTCTTGATTTGTTTCTGAATGACTGTCCTGCATGTTCTTTTGTGCTTATTAGAAAAACAAATGGCTGTAATGAGTCAGACTGAAGTTCTATTGACCATTCCAATTCACAATACCCAGATGATGCTTCAGGAAATGCTGAGCAAACACTACCCTTAATGTATTCTCTCAGCTTCCAAAACACAAAAATAAGGGAGACCTGAGTGACAGATACTGTCTTTGTGTTTAACAAATTTGTTGAGTTTTGTTACATCATTTCCTAATCTTTTTGGACTAATTTATACTTCTGTTATCCATAAGATTCTGTGGAACCGATTTAACTACTTTATTTTGCAATGTATGGAAAAGTTCCTCCATTTGTTTTCTTTAAATCAATCAACAAGTTTGATTTCCATCTAGTTCTCTTATGACATTAAACAGTGAATATTTGTTCCCTAGTCTCTTTCTCTATGCCATTCATATTTTTACAGCTATAAGCCATATCAGCTCTGATCTTTCTCTTTAGGTTGAGAAGTTTCCAGTCAAGTCTTTCTTCAGATGTTCCAAAATTGTGACAAAACCTGTGAGGGCCCCACCCACCCCCTGGGTGTTTGGCTGAGATCAAGGCCAACTTAGAAAGAGTACACCTGGTGACCTTGAAAAAAGCTGTTTGAAGAAAGCTGGAAGAAGACTCAGAAATGACTGCTCCTCCTTCCCTTGGGAGGTCCTTTCAAGCTGAGGCTTTTGCCCTTGGCCTACCCTGACCTAGCTGCAGCTGTGTTGCAGCCACATACCATCTAGACCTAGAACCTGGTCATGACCTTGGGAGTGACTTCCTGGACTGATTTCAGACCTGCCTTGTCACTAGGAACGTGCTAGTTATCACTAGACTATGTATGGCCCTTGTTACCATTTCTGAACCTAACCCTGACTCAATGTCCTGTCTTGACCTTGGACCTGTTCCATCACTACATACTTGTTTGGTAATCTGGATTTTTGGCTGACCCTGGCAGCCCTCACTGGGCCAGCCCTGCATGGGTATGGTGAGTCTCAGCTGGTGTTGCCCTTAACTATGTGGGTCTTGTTACATGATTGGTTCCTGACTCCATGTCTCTTGCTCCTCCCTGACAATACCAAACCTTGCCACCTTCTCTGTTATCTTTTCTAGCTCTGGAATGCCCATTTTGAAACGTGGGTGTATTTTGAAAGGTTTTGTATCAAAGTTCCACTTCCTTGCTGCTGTAATGCCAAATTCCTTAGATAAACCTCAAGAAAGACTGATAAGCTAGAGGCTGGACAATTACCCAGGAAGAAAAAAAATTGAGGAAGAAGTAAAGGTGGTAGGAGGGAACAACAAATACCACCTTCTCTGTCATGGAAATGAGTTCCTGGAATACCCACCTCTCTTTGTCTAGTATGTTAATCCCCTGGTAAGATGAATTTAAAAGGCTACAGAAAACTTTGCTGTGTGTGCACCCACCACCCAAGATAACCAGACCTGAGACAACATTGGAGCCTGGGTGGTAAACTGGATTCTTTTTTTTCCTCTCTCTTCCTCTCCTTCCCTTTTCTTTTCTTGCCTTTTTTTTTTTCTTATAGTTTTATCAATAAGAGATCACATTGCTTACTATCCTTATACAAGTTTAAGTCGTTTCTACCGCAAGTAAAACATCTGTACTAGTCATTTGGTGTCTTCTCACCTTAATTTAACTGTAGGGGATCACAGAACCTTTACGACTGCCTGGGCTCCCAGTCCAGGTAGCAACACTAGGGCCAACCACTGTTTGTATAAAACGTGTCCCATATGCACTGCTACTGTTTTTCATCTCCCCTCTTTATCACTTGTCATTCTGTATCATGAGATCTTGAATAGATTAGCATCATTAGCAAACTTCACTCACTTAGTCAATAGTTTTTACTGTTAATTTCTGATTATACTAAATTATTTAAATCACAGCAAAGATCTAAGAGAAACCACCTGGCAATCTCACTCCATCATGAAAGTAAATTTATTCCTACTCTGTTTCTTAACTTTTAGCAAGTTGGCTTGTCAGAGACCAAAGTTCTACAAAAAGATGCAGCTTTCAGCAACTCTACAAACTACAGAAGAATAAGCAACGACAAACCTATGCTAAATACTAGATATTACTTCTCTTTTCAAATACCCATCTGAAAAGATATACTTCTAGAATAATAATAAAAAAATATTTAGTAGTTTTCTCTGTAATTCCTCTTTTAATCGGCATCTTTTTCATTATGATATAGACGCTTATAATTCTCATCTCTAAAATAGTAAATGCCATTTCATTATTAGGTTCCACTGAACAGTCTGAATCCTCTTAATATTAAAGTATTATTACCATTCATAAATATTTAGCACCATAATAACATCTGCTATACAAAGTAAAATAAATATGACCAAAACTGATCACAATAAAGCTGACAGTAACACAAGTACAGCCTATGGGATATCAGCTTAATTGAACTCAACCTTGAAGGATTATATGCTGGTTCCTTACACTACATAACCAAGTTGGAAATGCCACTGAGACAAAATCTTGACAGTGACATAATAAACACAAAATGGGCTGTCGCATTGTTTAATCTGACCTCTCCTGAGTTTAAATCTTACACAGATAAAAAGAATAATCACTTTGGACAGCTTTTCAGTCTTCTAGAAGTTAAACAAATGCCTAGGCAGAACAAAACAATGAGATACCAATACCCAAGGTCCTTACAAAATTAAAGTGAGCAAAATTAAAAGAGGAATACTAAAACTTCAATATGCCAATCAACATCTCACAGGGAAAAGATATTCCACCCCCCGAACAGGGCTATCAGATTGTCCATAAACAAACCAAATACACAAGCAAGAAAGAAATATCATTTTTTATGTTATCTTGGAGCACCAGCCCCGCCAGTCTGACATGCCATCTCCAATTACAGGCAAGCTTTGACATTTCAGAAGGCAGCAAAATATGCATTCAAGAATGCACTTGGCTCATTTCTCATTGGGCAAAACACTTCTGGTGACCAGATGAAATGTAACATTTGTCATACTGATACCAATGGAACAGCTCAGCTGAGGTACGATAGTGCTGACCTTACTTTTCCCAAATGTTGACTCTTGTTCTGCACAAATACCTGAGTTGCTTATGTATTAGCATAAATCCCAGACTAGCACTTTAAGTAAGACTACTGATATGCTTAAAAATGATGGCTTTGTAAACTGTGGCAGTTCACTAGAAGCTCAAGAGGACTGTATGGATGGGAAAGGTAAACCTTTGGGCACAATAACACCGTCAGATGTACTAAACTCATCTGATCCTCTCTTTCTTTCCCTGACAACACACTGTTTCCCTGGAAAAGGAAATAACACAATCAAAATTAAAAAGACAAAGAGTCAAAAATGGAAGAAAATACAAAAGGAAAGAGTTTCTTTCATAGCTACTACATGCACTCAAAAATCTTTTAAAGTGGATGGACATTAACATCAACTGGAAAACAGTTACTTTAATGCAGTTCTTAAGATATGGCTGTGGATTAAATTTACCTGTTTTATGCAAATGAGATGGATTCCATTACATGACCCAAGATTAAGCATTTCTGTTTTTCACACAGTATCTTAGATCCTTGCTATTATATTTTTATATTTTATATGACTGAAAATAATGGAAATATATATCAGAACTTCCTGAATATATGAATAAACCATTAAAAAATAACTTACCTTCTTTTACTGATTCCTCCCTTGATTGGCTTAATGTTAATAACCTGTTACATTTTTCCAGCTGAAGAACCAGTAAGTTATTTGTTTCATTAATTTCTGATATTTTCTAGAATATTATAAAAAGACTAAAGTTATATTAATATCCTTTGATTTCTGTTTCAAATCTTGACTTTTAAATTAGTATAAAATTTAATAATTTCACAACCCTGCAGTCACAAACCTGCATTATTTGCCATTCTGGAAATTCTGTCAGAGGACGATTCTAGACTTGAGAGCCTGTGCTATGGCGAGTTTACCTTGCAGAGCTGAGAATCCTGACTTACATCACTAGTTATAAACTGGCTTCTTCTCAGTTTTGGAATAGTCCACAGCCTGGATCAATCCTCAGCAAGGTTCTTTCTACTGCTTTGCATATGAGGCTGTCAGTGCCCTTGCTAGCACCACCACAAGTAATGGGTATGAACAAGAATTGGTATATGTTTTTTCCACGAGAAATGCTAAATTTTTTTCAGGACCCCCTTTTATATTATCTCTAGTATGGATTTACTGATCAGGAAATCACCAGATATCTGGCCAATGTGGGTCTAACAAGAAATGTAGTACTGATTTTCCTCAGTGGATCAATCTTTTAAGAACAGATGTATACATAAAATAAAGACAGCTCAATGCATATGTAATATAAGAACAGATGCTTCTGCTATGACAGTGATGTTTTTCTAGAACAAGCAACAATTTCTGAACAGAAAGTCCAGCTAAGCTGTGTAATACCGTTATCTCCAATAGTAGCTTCTGATACAAAGGGACACTTCTGTGTTTTTTGTGAGAAGCCAAAATTGGCCTCTGCACCATTAAAATTCTAGCACAGAAACAAAGGCTTCTCAGACCCCACAGAAATCACTCATATTATCCTGAGATACATCCAATACAAACACTTTCTAAACAAAGTTGGTATTACAAGGCATATTAATAAGATGATACGACTTAGAAATTTTCACTTGAAAAGCTTATTAAAAAGTCACAAAATACTTATAGTTAGAAGTTTCAACATTATTTAACTTCTTCACTTACCTTTTCTATCTCTGAGAAGTTATCTAAAAGTTTATCAAGGTTCACCACATTGATCTTCTTCATAGTTTCTTCACAGCTGTGATTCATTTATTTTTGGACCATATAATCCAGTGATCACTGCATATATAAAAAATAGGTCTATGAATTCATATCTTTCTCATTCATACTATGTCAGAAGACTTCATATGCACAAATGTAAGCACAGCAAAGACTTTTGTTTTTTAATTAAATCTATTTTTTGCATATGAAGCGAAACTTAAACCAAACTAAGATCTTGCATTTCTAGGAAACACAATCAATGTCAGAGAATCCAAGCAAAATCTATCAAACTGTTAGATAATACAGCTGAGTTTGGAATTTTTTTCTGCAATTAAAAAGTAAAACTGAGTCCACTTCCATAGACACAATGATGCAATTTTACCTAAATATATTAGTGATCTGCATATAGAATGCTTTTAAAACTTATGACCAATCTATCTTTAGATATGCTGTTAAAACAGATTGGTCTTCCTGCCCTTACTTTAAAGAGTAGGAAATTCAAGCAATTGAAACAATTACTCGTTTCTTACTGTGTGTAATTTAGAGGCAACAGATGAAATTTTAAGTTTTATTAACTTAAAAAAATGTTATTTAAGTAAATACGGTTTTACCAGACACACATTAATGCAGGATCTACACCTTTTACCTGTGTAGATGCTTTAATACTTAACTATTTAGGCTTTGAGTTATATTTTTATAAAAAAATTTGCCTTAATATCAGCGATGAGACATTGCAGCACATAAACCTTACTTTATGAACAGACAGTATTTTGAAAAGCACCCATGTAACTCCAGATTATTACCACAATTCCTATTTTTAGTAGAAACTCTACTTACAGAATCTTCAACATACATTTGCAAGATGGATCTGGAAGACAAAACATGAATGCTTCTAAAATTATTGAAACTGTCTCTGAACATCAGGCTCCGTGGAACAAATTTCCCATACCAGATAAACCATGTATTCCAAACAAAATTATCATTTCTATGTGGTAATTTATGAACTGTCTTTTTACAAATAATTAAAAATTGCAATGACAGTGATGAAGAAGTTAGAATGTGCACACTACACAGAAACTGAATGGGTTTCCAGACAGAAATACTTACAAGTAAAGTTAGGCTGAAATAGATACGTAAATGAAGAACTACTGAGCAGGAACCAAAATTATGTAACTGATTATTTTCTCAGTCATTCAATATTTACAAGTCTTTATGTGTACGTAACTTCTTTACCAAAGCAGTAAGATATTGATTCCATGTGTTTAATACTATTTTTTCTCTTGTATCCATTGTTTCCTGAGGCAGTAAAACTCATTCATTAGCTAAAGCTATTTAACATTTTTTAAATCAACAATTTTAATGTATATATGTAGCATTAAAGATCTAATGCTTCTAAGTTAGTGATTTTTTTACTAAGCAATCTTAATGACTTCTAACAGTTATTATGATGCAGAGATTTGTTAAAATGGAGTTTAAAATACTCTATTTTGTAAAACAATGACATATCTTAATATTCTATTGGTTGATAATCTAAATGTACACTATGAATGCCAAGCCCTGATCTTTCCAGTCCTTATGATGGGCACTATCTTATCTGTTTGTCAATCACCATTTCTTTTCATCATGCTCTTAAAACCGTGTTTTACCCTCTAAATTTTGACTAAGGATGGGAATTAAGGGAGCTGCCATGTTGTGTGCTGTTTTGTTTGTTTCCTTATTCCATGGCATCATTTGTTTTCTCAGAAGACAGGATGTGCTCCACATTTGGCAGCCTTAGGCAACAGTGCCACTGGGAATAAAACGACTGCTGAAATAAAACAGTAAATTAAAAATAATATGTTGTATTATTAATGTTGTATTTTTCCAGCAGGAAAACTCATCACTTTTATTTTTGTGTACATTATTATTATATGTGTTATGTCTTCCAAAGGCATTTTTGATAAGCCTCCCACACCTGTTATGAACTATATTGATTTTGCTAGGGGGAAAATTAAATATTTAAAATGTATTTTTGACTGTCATGAAACTGATACCTTTATTTAATCTCTCTTTAACCCCCTGCCATCCCTACTCGCTCACTATTCTTTTAAAAATATCATAGGTAATTACCTGATTTTGGAATTTAGTTTAATTTTTGCTTCATGTAACAGTGAAACCTGTATTTATAACCAAAATAAAATTAATACGACTTAACTGCAAATCCCAACTGAATATAGGAATTATTCAGTAATAAACCTTTCAAGTAGTCTCCATCGTTTTTCTGAACTCCATCAAGATAGGCACCTGACATTTGCACCGACTATAACCTTGCTCTAAACACTCTTTTAAGACCCTGAGCACACTTAAAACGTGGTTTGCAGATAAAAATTACCACCACCTAAGTGTCATCCGCAAGTGGGGTGAATCCCATCCCCTCACCCGATTTCTGAGACAACCGCGACAAGACAGAGGCACCGGCTGCACCACTGCAAAGCCCACCGAGCCCTACCGACCCTCTCCCACCCCTGCAGTTTGCCTACACAGCGCCCTGGGGAGAAACAAGACCCTCTCACAGTCTCCGGCGCACAGGACACGCAAAGCGCTGCCTTTTACTCCTCAGGGTGCGGGCACAGATAGACGGGGCAAGATGACGGCACTCTCAACGCCGCCCCACACCGCCCCGCTCCCCCACAGACAGCTGAGGAGAGCCGGCGCGCGCCCTCCAGAAGGCGGGAACCCGGCCGCGCCGGCGGAGCGCACCACAACCGATCCTGCGGGGGTCGCTTCGCCCCCTCCCCGCCGGCCCGCTCGGTGGGCTCGACCGCATGCCCGCGCTTGGGCCGCGTGGCTCGGGGTGCTGGGGCCCCCCATGCCCCTGCGCTGAGGGGTGGGGCGCGCGTCGCGGGTGGGCGCCGAGGGCCCCTCATGAAGCGTCCGTAGGATAGGCGTCTCCTTGAGGGCAGGGTGACAGGGGAACTGGGGACACCGCACACCGATGCTGTCTTGACATAACTCCGAGGGCAGTGCCACCACTCGCCACTTCACCAGAAAAACGGAACAAAACCCGAGCACCTCAGCAGAGCACCTGCTGAGGCCCTGATTTCACTCCTCTGTGTAGCATGTGAATTGTTTTATGAAATGGCTCCTCATATCAACATTAATATCAGGTGAGGGGGGACTTCATGTGCAAATGAACGTTCCTTTGAACATCAGCAAATAGATGTTAAATGGCAAACAGACGCTAAATTTTGTTTTGTTTTGTTAAGCAGATGTGTAGGACTGGGAGTGACTCAGGGAATAAAGACTCCACAACCTTTAAGGTTGTAAAGTAGGTATGTTTATTTGGTACCAGCTGTGTGGGGGATCCTCCACCACAAACACGCACACCCATATGATCCAGGGCTAGTCCCTTTATGCCTCAAATGACACATGTTCATAAGCGCTTATACATATTCTTGGACTCTCCGAGAACTCATTTCCATATGCCCCGCCTTCGTCCTTCGCACCTGTGCAGTTCTTCGTGGTGGTCGTGGGCCGGGTTCTCAAGGACGAAGTAAGGCCCCCTCTTCATGAACTTTTCAACTTTTATCTCTGGCGCATGCCCTCTGGGCCCCTGGCGCCAGATTTCCCCAGCCACAACTTTGGTGCCAGCGCTCTGGGCCCTTGGCACCCGTCCAACCCACAGAGCCAACGCCCCCCTCCCCAGCAACTCCCATGTTATCAGACGAACAGCATGTCTTAACAAACAAAGGGCATGTTTTAACAGACCATCGGCATGTCTTAACAACCGGCATGTCTTAACAAACAAAGGGTTTGTTTTAACAAACAATCTTATCAAACAAATGGCATGTCTCAACTCCCAGGTGCTAGTTCCTCTCCATCAGTAGGGACCCACTGGGTTACTGAATAGCATCCGGGTGAAATCAGAGGCAACCAAATCCTGTCATCCCATGGGAAAACAAAACAACTTTCCCCCTTACAGCTTTTTCCCATCTCGCTAGGTATAAATTGCTTTCTTTCTAGGCTAAAGTTGAGTTGATGATCCAGACATACCAACCTCTTCAATCCTGTTAGGAGTGTCAAATGTAAGGTTTAATGTCCTGCCTTGACATGGAAACAAACTGTGCTGAACCAGTGGGGACTTTTCAGCAGTTGTGTTCATATCAGTAAATGCAAGTGTAGAACAGGCTTCTTAGCCAGATAACCTTGCTGAAAACTTCGCACAAGAGCATTAGCCATTTTGTCATTTAAATGATCATAACTAGGTTTCAGGATTAGTAATGCTGGGTGAATGAATATCTGTCATACTTAAGAGAATCACTGAATAATTTAATTTGGAAGGGACTTCTGGATCTTACCTGGTTCAGATACCTTCTCTAAGCAGGACCAGCTTCAAAGCTAGAATGGGTTGCTCATGACCTTGTCAAATTGAGTTTGGAATATCTTCAAGGAGATGGTTGTTTTATGGCATAATCTGAAGAGGAATTGTTTTACAGGCTTGGATTTAGACAGAAACAACTGTTAATTTTCTTTAGGTGCATAGATTTTTTTCAGAAACAGGCTGTAAAATTACATTCATAAGGTCACATCTGCATGCTAGAATAAATGGACCTGTTCTCAGAAATTAAAAACACGCTATATCATTCTCGGATGGTCTGGTTTTGTTGGTAATAGAGAGGGAAGATGTTGCGTCTTGAATGCTTGTTGATGCTGTTCTCAAGAGCAGAATTGCGTGCTGTGCAGATCAGAAGCTGTGAGAGCATGCAGGACCCTTCATGCCTGAGAACATCCAGAAAAATAACAGCCTACCAGTCATGGTCATAAATGCTGTTTTCAGGCAACTGCTTTATCAGAATGTCTGAGGGTTGGTGTCCACTGGGACATTGGCACAGAAAAAGTGATGAAAATAATTTTTGTGGATAGAAGATCTGCAGCTGAGATACAGGTAGGGAAAGGACACACACCAAGTGTGCCCTGGTGACGGATACTAATAGGGAAAGGGGTAGTCCTGTCATCTCCCAGGGAACTCAGTACATGCTGCTCATATTTTGTACCTCACTTTCACTGATTCATTGACCAATTTTTACAAAATCCGTCACACAGTTTCAGTTGTCCTTGTAAATTGCAGCAGCCCTAAAAACCTGTTCAAAAGGTTTGGCACTTAAAGAAAAAAAATCGAAGTTTAAAAAAATTACTTGTTAGAGAAGATTAGGTCAGTGTTAAAGTAAAAGTGAAATGTCACAGCAATAGGTGCTCATCTTAGGCCCTGAAAAAGGTGCACAATCAATGTTGATTGATAAAAAGATAAAAAACCCCAACAAATTCTGGAGTGGTGAGGATTTTAATGCACCGTAAACCACATTGTATTGCACAGGCTGTTTTTTGTGTTAATTACTTGTGGTTTTATTTTAAAGATTACATTCACAGGAAGATAAGGAGTGAATACGGAAGTTCAATTCTCACAGTTAGGCAAAAATGTTACCCTGTGTTCTTGTGTTATACTTGCAATAATGCTGCGCTAAATGACCCATATATAAATAAGTAATTTAACCACTGGGAAGGTGATTACTATGAGCAGACCGGGAAAAAATGCAGAAAAAAACCCCAAACAACTTTGAGGGGAAAATGTATGACAGGTTTTGACCCAGAAATACATGGAACAAAAATCTATAAGACAAGGGTAGAACATTTAACTTATAACAGGTTTAGCAGTCAGGAAATATTCTTTTGTTTTAGCTTTTAAAATATTGCTGCTAACCTAGCAAGCAACGTAGTACTGAAAACTTTGAAAATATGAGAGTTTTTCTATAGTTAATTTAGAGTTTGTGCTATTTTTTTGCCTTTTTATAGGGTAGTAACTTCTCTGGAAAAACGGTTCAAGAATCTGGTGGTCACTGAAGAACGTCTGACATCCACTGCGTATTAGGCAAGTAGGGAAGTATTTTCTGTCAGAAACTGATGGGCAGTTGGGTGATGCTGTATTATTACAGTGCAACCTACAAAGGTTTCTAAGACTAATGGAAAACACAGATGCTTTTTGTTGCCATGATGAGCACCCCTGTAAGAGAAACTTCTGTGCCAAAGACCTATGACATGGCAGTCATAGCCATGTTTGCTTTTCTATTTCTCACAAACAGCATCATCTGTGTATGTTTGAAATCTCATGGTTAGGCATAGCCTTGAGTAATTTTTTACTGATCTTCATGTTATTATGTTTTGATGGTCTTTAAAATCCTTCCTGACAACTGCAACCTTTTCAGAGGAATATGTCAGCTGCATGTACAGCGTTAAAGTTTGCAAGATTCAACTCAGTTTACAAAATGATTGTTTTCCTCATATTCTGAAGAGCAAACAGAGGAAGAACATAGGTTTTAACCTTCTCTGTACTGCTGTAGCACTCATCACAGTATTTAACACACTATAGCGTCAGGCTGCAGAGTAGCTTAGTAAGAGAGGGGAATGAATTGTACTGTCATCCATCTTGGGCATCAGCATACTGTTTGCTGTCTAGTGTTCTTCTTGCTGAAAGGGTTTATTTTTCAGGTTTAGGACATGAAAGATATCTGTCAGAAGGGATTTTTATTATAGGAGCACCCATTTCTGTTGTCTTCTCCAAAGTGTTCTATGTTTGTCCAAAGGATGAAAACATACAAATATATACACAAATACATGTTTTTTAAGTAGGCTAATATACTAGAACACATTTACATATAAATATTTAAATATAAAAATAAGTATATATCTGTAAGTAGGCAAACATATCTGTTAAAACAGTATCTGCAACCGTTAAAGCAACCTCAGTAAAAATAGTTGATTTCATGTTAACGTCACTCATGCATGTTTGATACTTAAGTCTTGGGGTGGAAGACATAAGGGAAAGAAGAACAAAAAAAAAAAAGCCTATGTATGTGATTTTATCCTCATAATTTTAGCCATCAAACAACATAAGAAGCCACTTATTTTCAGCTTGTGCTTAGCTGTTATTTTGTTCAGAAAGAACAGAAATATTCTTACACAAAGTATTTTTTTCCTCTGTATTTGTCTTTTTGCTTGGCAAAGGATGGCCTAATCTTTGCTTTACAGCTTCAGTAATGTCATCATTAGTGTTTATGGTATATATTAAAAATCAAGTTTAATTATTTGTAACAGGACAGCGGTAGACAGTAATTTTTTGATGTTGCTTATATGAATTCCGTATTCTTGTATTCCCAACAGGAGTGTTCTGTGATGTAGGATGAACTAAACAAAAAAAAAGGAAGGTAAACAGTAGTTAAATTGGAAATTAAATCTCCTAAAATGTGTATCATTCTGTGACTGTAAAAACCTAGATTTTATAATCTCCAGAAGGAGTAATTAGGGTCAGATCTAAAAACCACACTGTCTTCTGTGTGAGCTGTACCACATGCTCAACTTAAAATGGCTTTGGTTTGCCTTCTGAAATAATTTCCTAAATTACTATGGATAGAAAACCAGCTCACTGTATCATACGGTCTACAGGTCTTTGTCTGTAATAGCCTGTGTTTGTCTGCAGCATAACTTTTTACAAAATGTTTAGCCATATGCTATTGAAGGTAGACAGCATGTTCCAGCACTTTGTTGCATAGACAGACTG